ATGGGGATCCTGTGGTGGTGGGATCCCTGGGTGACAATGGGGATCCCCATGACAATGGGCACCCCCATGATGATGAAGACCCCCCTGCCAACAGGTACCCCGAGCCTCAGCCCTGGCAGCAGTGGTGGGGGGTCGGTTTGGAGGGGTTTGGGGGTGCAGGGCCCCCCCCAACCTGCCCCTTCCCCAGCACCGATGTAATCCAGCATCTTTGGGAACGTGTCTGCATCATCCAGCGCCCGCACCCGGGGGCACGGGGACCCCGGGGGTGGCAGAGGAGGGTGTGGGGGGTTTTGGGGTGCAGCCCCCCCTGACGTGCCCCCTCCCCAGCGCTGATGTACGCCAGCATCTTCGGGAACGTGTCAGCCATCATCCAGCGGCTGTACTCGGGCACGGCGCGGTACCACACGCAGATGCTGCGCGTCCGCGAGTTCATCCGCTTCCACCAGATCCCCAACCCCCTGCGCCAGCGCCTCGAGGAGTATTTCCAGCACGCCTGGTCCTACACCAACGGCATCGACATGAACGCGGTGAGACCCCCGGGACCCCAAAACCCACCATGGACCCCTGGAACCCACCGCAGCCCCCCCAAACCTCCACATCCCCCAAGGACCCCCAAAACCTGCCCTGGACTCCTGTAACCTCTTGCACCCCTCCCAAACCCCCGTGGCTCCCCAGGACCCCCAGATCCCACCGTGGACCCCTGTAACCCACTGCATCCCCCCCCCAAACTCCCATGGCCTCCCAACCCCCCACTCCTCGAGAAGTATTTCCAGCACTTCTGGTCCTACACCAACAGCTTCAACTTGAACGTAGTGAGACCCCCAGGACCCCTTGGGACTCCCAAAAGGACCCCTAAAACCCCCCATGGTCCCCTGCCCCCCCACTTCTCAAGGACTATTTCCAGCACAGCTGGTCCTGCACTAAGGGCATTGACATGAATGCAGTGAGACCCCTCAAAACCCACAGGCCCCCAAAACCTCCATGGGACCCCTAAAACCCCCCCATGGCCCTCAGACCCCCACTCCTCAGGGAGTGCTTCCAACAGTCCTGGTCCTGCAGCCATGGCATCGACATGAACACGGTGAGACCCCGGGACCCCCCAAACCCAGCAGGGCCCCCCAGCACCCCCCGCAGTCCCCCGGCCCCTCACTCCTCAAGCTCTCCAGCACACCCAGCCCTACAGCAGTGGCACTGACATGAATGCAGTGAAGCCCCCCAAGGCACCCCCGAGGACCCCCAAAACTTCCCGGGGACCCCTAAAATCCCCCATGACCCTCAGCCCCCCATTGCTCGGGAAGCACTTCCAGCAGTCCTGGTCCTGGACCGACAGCATCCCCATGAACGGGGATACCCCCCCAAAGCTGCCGTGCCCCTGACCCCTGTGCCCCCCTGTGCCCCCCAGGTGCTGAAGGGGTTCCCCGAGTGCCTGCAGGCCGACATCTGCCTGCACCTGAATCGCAGCCTGCTGCAGAACTGTGCCCCGTTCCGGGGGGCCACCAAGGGCTGCCTGCGGGCACTGGCCATGAAGTTCAAGACCACTCACGCCCCCCCGGGGGACACGCTGGTGCACGCGGGGGACGTGCTCACCGCGCTCTACTTCATCTCCCGCGGCTCCATCGAGATCCTGCGCGGGGACGTCGTCGTCGCCATCCTGGGTGAGACCCCCCGACGCGACCCGGGGGTCCCACGGTGTCCCCTGGGTGTCTCCCGGGGCATCCACTGTGCTCAGGGGCCCCAGTGCTGGGTGCCCCCAGGGTGAGCCCCCACCTCCTGGGCACCTCACAGTGCCCCATGGGGGACCCTCTGTAACCTGGGGTGCCCCCAATCCCCCTCGAGTGACCCCCCCGGGGTCCCCCAGTGCCCCATATGGCATATGCCCAGTCCTGGAGAACCCCCAATGCCCCTCGGGGAACCCCTTCGCATTGTAGGGTCCCACAGTGCCCCGTGGGTGACACCCCCACCTCCCGAGGACCCCCCCCCAGTACCCCATGGGGTGGCCCCCTGCCTCCCCTGGTTCCCCCAGTGCTGGGTGCACCCCAAGTGCTTCCCAGGGTCCCCACAGCCCTCGGTGCCCCCTGTGTGACACCCCACCTCCTGGGGACCCCCCACTCCCCCCCATAGCCCCCCCAGTCCTCTGCACAACCCGAGTGTCCCCATGGTAACACCTAGGCTCCCAGGGACCCCCTGTGCTGGAGGCACCCTAGGGTGACTTCCCACCTCCTGGGGACCCCCCAGTACCTCTGAGATAACCCCTCACCTCCTGGGGTCCCCCCAACTCGGGGTACAACCCCAGTGACCCCCCAGTGCTGGACACAACCCTGGTGCCCCCCGGGTGACCCACAGTGCTGGGGGCAACCCATGTTGACCCCGCTCGTCCTGGTGAACCCCCATTGTCCTGGGGTGACCCTCAACCTCCCAGGGTGTCCCCCCTCTCGGGGACCCCCCAGTGCCCCTCCTGCCCCCCCAGGGAAGACCAACAACCAGGGCAGTGCTGGGACCTGCTGCACCCCCAAGCCCCTGGGATCCCCCCCAGCACCCATTAGGTGCTCCTTCAGTGACCACCCCTTCTTGGGGACCCCAGAGTCACCCCGCCCTTCTCGGGAACCCCCAGAACCGCCCCCCTTTCCCGGGGTGCCCCGCCAGGCACAAACCCCTTTGAGGAGCCGCTGCACCCGCGTGTGCAGCTGGGACAGTCCGAGCACCCCAGAGCCCCCGGGACCCCCCAGCCCCGCGGACCCCCCCCAGTCACTTCCCGGGACCTCCCCCCACCCCCTAGGTAAGAACGACACCTTCGGGGAGCCGCTGCACCTCCACGCGCGGCCGGGGAAGTCTCGGGCGGACGTGCGGGCACTCACCTACTGCGACCTGCACAAGATCCTGCGCGAGGACCTGCTCGAGGTGCTCGACATGTACCCCGAGTTCTCCGACCGCTTCTGGGGCACCCTCGAGATCACCTTCAACCTGCGCGACGTGAGGGGGGACCCGGGGGGCCGGGGGGGTCTGGGGGGGGGTCAGGTGGGGGGGTCCTGAGCGAGTTATGGGGTCCTGAGCCGCCCGGAGCATCCAAGTAAACTGGGGGGTCCTGAGAAAGTTGGTGGGTTCTGAACAAAGAAGGGGGCTCCAAGGAAGCTGGTGGGGGTCCTGAGCAAACCAGGAGGTCCTGAGCAAGTGTGGGGGGGTCCTGAGTTGGAGGAGGCTGAGCAATCTGGGGGGTCTCGAGTGATCTGGGGGTCCTGAGCAAACCTGAGGACTCTGAGCAACCCCTGGGGGGTCCTGAGCAAGCTGGGGGGCTCCCGACAAAGCGGGGGGGGGGGGGCCCCGCAGCCCCCCGACTGTCCCCCCTTGTCCCCGCAGACGAACATGATCCCCGGCTCCCCGGGCAGTGACGAGCTGGACGGAGGCTTCTCCCGGCTCCGCCGCCGCAAACTGTCCTTCCGCCGGCGCCCCGAGAAAGGTGGGGGGTCGGGGGGGCCGGGCGGGCGCCGGGACCCCAGGGGTGACCCCAGGGGTGACCCCAGGGTCACCGGGACCCCGGCCCTGACCCCGCCTGTCCCCCGCAGACGCCCCCAGTCCCGAGAAGCCCCGGGCGCTGCGGGAGGGCAATGGGGGGGGTCAGGCCCCCGGCGCCCCCCGGGGCCCGGCCGAGTGGGACCCCCCCAGCCCCTCCAGCTGCGGCTCCAGCGATGAGGAGGAGCCCCCCGCGCCCCCCCCGGGGGCCACCGCGCTGTCTCCTTTCCGCAGTGCCCCCCCGGCCCCCCCTGAACCCGAGGAACGCGAGGGCAGCGACATGTGCAACCCCCTCTCAGGTGGGTCGGGGGCTCGGGGTGGGGTGGAGGGTCCCCCGTTCCTTCCCTCCCCGCCCGGGGTCCTGCAGACTCCACAAAACCCCGGCACCCCCCTCCCACCCGGCGGGTGGGGGGTCCCGCATTCCTCCCCTCCTCACTCGGGGTTCTGCAGACACTCCCCAAAATCCCAAACGCGACCTCCCCCGGCACCTGCCCCTGCAACCCCTCAGAAGGGCGCGGGGGGGCTCAGGGTGGGGGACGGGGGCAATCCTCCCCTCCCTGTTTAAGGCTCTACAGCCCCCCCCAAAAGCCCCAGCGCCCCCCCCCCATCCTTCCCCCCGTCCCCCTTGAGCGTCCCCCCCCCTCCCCCCCCCAACCCCCCCCCCCCCACACCTTTTCCAGGCGCCTTCTCGGGAGTCTCCAACATCTTCAGTTTTTGGGGTGACACCCGGGCCCGCCAGTACCAGGAGCTCCCCCGTTGTTCCCACGGGGCCCCCCCCAAATCCCAGCCCGTCTCTGACCCGCCGCCAGCGCTCCGACCTGGAATCCCGCTTGGATCTGCTCCAAAAACAGCTCAACAGGTAATTCTGGGGGGTTCAGGTGTGACCCCAGGGGGGGTTTAGGGCAGTGAGACCCCAAGGGAGCCCCCCGACCATCCCCAAAGGGGTCTGGGGAACCCAGAGTGCAAAGGGAGGAATGAGGGACCCCCACCCCAACCTGAGCCCTCTGACACACCTTGAGGGGGCACAGAGGTGCAGGGGGAGGTGCTGCGGGTCCAGGGGGGCTGGGGGAGGAATGGGGTTGGGGGTGCTGGAGTTTTGGGGGCTCTGTAGAGCCCTGAGTGAGGAGGGGGGGAATGGGGGATCCCCACCCCATCCTGAGGTGCCTAAACCACCTGGTGGGATGGAGGGTGCTCCCCCACAGGGGTGCAGGGGCAGGTGCTGGGCAGGTCTGGGGGTCCTGGGGGGCTGGGGGAGGGATAGGGTTGGGGTCCCAGGTCTCATCCCGGCCTGACCATGCTCCCCTGTGGACATTCCAGGCTGGAATCCAGGCTGAGCACGGACATCTCGTCCATCGTGCACCTGCTGCAGCGCCAGGTGTTGGTGCCCCCCGCCTACAGCACCGTGACCTCCCCCCACCAGCCCCCCCCGGGGCCGCTGCAGCCCCCCCTGCCCATCACCCCCCTCCGGCCGCTCGCTCAGGTGAGGGACCCCGGGGTTGGGGGGCACCTGCTTTGGGGGGCACCCCGCTGTCACATCTCTGTGGGTTGGGGTCACCCCTGAGCCCCCAGGTTTGGGGTGCACCCCGTTTTGGGGGCCATCACCCTGTTATCCAGCCCCTCTGTGTGTTGGGGTCACCCCTGAGCCCCCGCAGATTTGGGGTATACCCCCTCCTGTGCCCCACCACTCCGTTCCCCACTGCTGTGGGTGGACCCTGCCCTGGGTTGGGGGGACGCCCTAAATCCCTGGTGCCGCGTGGGGAACACCCCAAGTCCCCCAGATTTGGGGCAGACCCCCTCCCGTGCCCATCACCGTGTTCTCCAGCCCTTCTGTGGGTTGGGGTCACCCACTGGGGGGCCCGGTGCTGGGTGGGGGGGGGGATATCCGGAGTTCCTGGTGCCGAGTGTGGGTCCCCCGATCGATCCCCCCCCGACTCTCCCCCTCCCCCGTTCCGGCCGGGCCCCCCCCCCCCCCCCGCGCCCCGGCCCCCCCCGACGGGGTGCGGCTGCTGGAGCCGCCCCCCCCGCGGCGCCGTTCGCTGCCCGGGGCGCTGCCCCCCCCCGCGGGGACCCCCCCGGGGACCCCCCCGCTCCAGAGACACTGCTCCGACCCCGGCAGCTAATGGGAGCGCCGGGGCACGGCGGGACCCCGGAGCCACGGGACCCCCGACCCCGGAAAGTGGCACCCCCGGAGCCCTCGGACCCCAGGACCTGGGACCCCTGGAGTCCTCGGGCCCCGGCACGTGAGACCCCCAAAGCCGAGGACGTGGGACCCCCGGAGCCACAGGAACCCCAGATTCCGGAATGTGGGACCCCCAGACCCGGCACCCCTGGACACCATGGCCTGGGACCCCTGGAGTCACAGGACCCCTGACCCTGGAACGTGGGACCCCCGGAGCCCTGGAGCCCTGGGACCCCCGACCCTGGAACACTGGGACCTCCACAGTCCTCAGACCCCCACACCCTGGGACCCCTGGAAGTCCCGGACCCCGGCATGTGGGATCCATGGAGCCACAGGAGCCCTGAGCCCAGCATGTGGGACCCCCAACACCCAGGACGTGGGACCTCCAGAGCCCTGGGACCCCCGACCCTGGAATGTGGGACCCCCACACCCCGGGACATGGAACGCCCCTGTCCCGGGAGCTGGGACCCCCGGAGCCCCCAGCCCTGGGCCCTGACCTGCCGGGGGGCTCCGGCCGCTGCCCCCCACGGACACTCCCCCAGGGCCGGGGGGGGGGAACTCCCCCCCCGGGGACCCCTCGCTATGCGGCACCCCCCGGGGTCCCCCTGCCCCGGACTCTGCTGCTCTTCCTGCTCCTCCTTCCAGAGCCCCCCGGGACCCCCCGGGCCGGCGGGGTGGGGGGTGTGCACAGGCGTGTCCCCGTGTCCTGTCCCCAGGACCTCACGTGTGTGTCGGGGGTCCCGCTGTGCCGGGACACGTGTGTCACCCCCCATCCGTGTGTGTGTCTGTGTGTCCCTGCCATGTGCCCCCCCGGGACCCCCCTGCCGGGCCCCCCCGCACACGTGTGTGAGCACCGGCAGGCTCGGGGGGGTCCGTGTGTGTCCCCCCGCGTGTCCCCGTCCGTGTCCCGGCTGGGGGGGTGGGGGCACGTGTGTGCCCTCCCTGCCTGGCTGCGTGTCCCCTTGGAGCCCCCTGGGACCCCCAGAGCCCCCCGAGCCCCCCGGGCGCTCCCCCCGCACAGCCGGGTGTCACATCGTGGGCACCCCACGCACAGGGAGGGGGACACGGGGCGGGGGGGGGCTGCCACCCCCATAGCGTGTGCCGTGTTTGTCCCGTGTCACCCCTGCATGTCACCCCCGCCGTAGGTGTCCCCAATAAACCGGACAGAGACCCCCGGGCTCTGTGTGTCACCGGGGGAGGGGACAGACCTCGAATGTCACTGTGATCAGACATTGTGACAGCCGGGGACGGGTCGGGGCGTCCAGGTAGTGGCAGAGACAGGACAGAGGAGGTGACATTGCCTTTACTGGGCACCGTGTGACACATCCCAGTGGCACTGGTGTCCCACATGGTGGTGGAGGGGGTGGCATCACCTTTACTGAGCCCAGCAGGTGCAATGTGGCACTGTGAGGCACCGGGTGACACGTCCCGTGCCACGGTGTCCCAGTGGCACTGGTGTCCCACAGGGTCCCAGTGCCGGGGTCAGACGAGGTGACATCACCTTTACTGAGCCCAGCACGGCGCACGTGGCACCAAGTGACACGTGTGTGGCACGTTACCATGGCACCATGTGATGGTCTGGCACATGGCGCCGTGTGACATGGAGTGACACGTCCCACCCCCCAGTGTCTGGGTGTCCCCGCTGTCCCCATGGTGCCGGTGCTGGGCTCAGAGGGGGTGGTGGCCCGTGGCCCGTCCCAGGGTGGTGTCACGGTGTCCCCGGTCACACCGGGCGGTAGGTGCCGTTGTAGGTGAAGGGCTCGGGGTGGACGCAGGCGCCGGGGCTGGGGGGGGTCCAGCGCTGGATCTGCAGGCGGGAGCAGGTCGGGGGGTCCAGCGGGCGCACGATGACGGGGGCACGGGAGGCCACCGACGGGTCCTCGTCGAAGAAGTTGAAGGGGCGCAGGAAGAAGCCGACGGCGTTGCCGGGGGTGGCCGTGTTGGGGACGTCCTCGGAGTGGGGCACGTGCAGGAAGCCCACGGTCACCCAGGCCACCAGGTCCTGGGGGGACACCGCAGAGTCAGCGGGGCCCGTGGCACCGTGGACCCCCCCACGGGAGCTGGGGACACCAGTGGGAAATGGGGAGACCCCCCAGAGCTGAGGAGCCCCCGAGACCTGGGAAGCCCCTCGGGAGCTGGGGATACACCAGAGCTGGGGAACCCCGTGGGAGTGGGGGAGACCCTGGAGCTGGGAAGCCCCCTGGATCTGGGGAGCCCCTAAAGCTGGGCCCCCCCCAGGAGATGGGACCCCCCCCGTGCCCCCAGTGCTGTGTCCCCGATGTCACCTGGTCCTCGATGGTCTCGTTGTCACGGATGAAGCTCTCGAAGGTGACCGGGGGGTCCCAGGGGTTGTTCTGGCTGTAGATGCTGCTGCTGCTCGGCTCGTTCTCGTGGCGCCGCGTCACGGCCAGGTGGTACCTGCACAGGTGAGGGGGTGGAGTCGGCCTGAGTGTGGCACCCACCCATGCAGGGATCCCTCTCCCACCCCTGCCTGGGCCCCCCTGCTGTGCCACCCCCTGCCCAGTCACATTATGGGGACATGGGGTTGGCAAGGGGGCTCGGGGGTTCCCCAGCTTTGGGTACTCCCCAGCTTCAAGGGTCCACCCAGCTCTGGGGGACACCCCACTTCCAGGGGGTTCCCCAGCTCCTGAGGGGCTCTCAAGCTTGGGGGTGTCACTGGACACGTCCCCACTGCACCAGGCCGGGGTCCCCCTCAGCCAGGGCCCTCACGGCTGGGACCACAGAGCCCACGGGCGAGGCCACCTCCTGCTCTGGGGGGCCACGGCAGGAACGGGGGGCTCCAGGGGTCAGGTGCCACCAGGGGAAGGTGCCACCAGGGGATTGTGGCAGTGAGGCAAGGTGCCATCAAGGTCTGGTGCTACCAAGGGGTGGGTACCACTAAGGGAAGGTGTCACCGAGGGGAAGGTGTCACCGAGGGGAAGGTGTGACCGGGGGAAAGGCACCGTGCCCATAGCAGTGGGTGACTCGGCACAGAGCCGGGGCGCCAGAGCCCACGGGGCAGCCACGTCCCCCCCCCGGGCCCCCCGCGCCCACCTGGCCCAGGTGACGCCGCGCTCCTCGCGCCAGCCGCGGGGCAGGACGGGCCCGGCGTGGGAGCTGAGCTGCAGGCGGTAGGTGCGGCGGTGGCCCCAGCGGTTGCGCCGGCGCGGGTTGGTGAAGAGCAGGTACCGCGGCGGGGCCCGGCCCAGCGGCAGCGCTGCCTCGCACTCCCGGCGCCGCGGCTCCCGGTGCAGCCACGGCTGCACCACGCGGGCCCCCGCGCTCCAGGGGTTCGAGATGTTCTCGAAGCGAATGTCCATCGTCTCGAAGCTGTTCCCGGTGCCTGCGGGGAGGGGGGTCGGTGGGGGGGACACGGCGGCACAGACCCCCCGGGGTGGGGACGGGACCCCGCGGAGGTGTCACCGCGCAGGGGTGGGACCCTACGGACGTGCTGCATGGAGGGGTGGGACGCTGTGGGGATGACACCAAGGACGTGGACTGGGACCCCCTGGAGGTGCCACCACCACGGAGGGGGGGGCACAGTGGAGATGCCACCAGGGAGGACTGGGAAACCAGGGAGATGCCACCATCATGGGGGGCTGGGACCCTCCGGAGATGCCACCAGCATGGAGGGTTGGGGCCCCAGGAGATGCCACCACCGTGGACAACTGGGACCCTGCAGAGATGTCCCCGTGGAGGGGTGGGGCCCCACGGAGATGCCACCATTGAGGGTGGTCATCACCAGAGGGTCCAGGTGATGTCCAGGTGGCACCACCCCCCTCAGGGACGAGGCCCCCTGGTCCCTGGAACGCCCCGTGGGCCCAGCTCCCCCTCCCAACCCCCTCTCCACAGCCGGGGCATGTCAGAGGTGTCGGGGCCCTTTACCTGCGACATCCAGGTCCACCTTGTAGTGCACGAGGTGCGTGTGGAGGTTGCCCAGGACGTGGCTGTGCACGCGGCTGCCATAGCGCCGGCCCTGGGGCGTGTAGAAGGTGGCGTGGATGTAGCCGGTGGCGTGGACCTTGGCCTCCAGGACGCCGTTGGGGTAGAGCAGGAAGTCCCAGATGTAGTCGTAGTTGTAGACGGTGGAGGTGGTCCTGAGCACCAGCGCCCGCCCCTCCAGCCCCGCGTAGAAGTGGAAGCCGCCCTGGAAGTCGTTGTCGAAGTGGCGGCGCAGGGGGACCCCCGTGGGCAGCTCGAAGACGCAGAGGGCGCGGGGGAAGCGCACGGGGCCGTCGGCGTCCAGGAGGTGGTGGGCGTCCAGGAAGGTGGCGGTCTCGGGGCAGTCCACGCCGCGCGCCAGCTCGAAGCTGGAGGCGCCCATGGCCCAGCCGGCGTCCATGTACTTGGTCTGCATGGCCGCCGGCGAGTGGCCGCCGTAGAAGGCGATGGCCTCCTGCACGCTCAGCTCGTAGGCCACGCGCTCGCCGCCGAAGCGCACGTCGAAGAGCTGGAGGCCGGCGGAGGAGCGCAGGCGGAAGGCCAGGCTCCAGCCGCCGTACTCCAGCCGGTTGCCGCGCAGGCGGTAGCGCCGGCCCTGCGGCTCGCACACCTTGGCGCCGTGCACCTCGGTGGGCGTCCCGGTGAAGAAGCGCCCGCGGGGCTCGTAGCCGGAGAAGAGGTGGCGGGCGGGGGGCTCGGGCAGGCGGACCAGGGCCAGCGCCCCCCGCGCGTGGAGCTCGGCCAACTCCCGCACGGAGCCAAAATAGCGCCCGTCGTACCAGAGCCGCCGCACGGCCCAGCGCCGCGGGTCGGGGTCCCGGTGGTCCAGCAGCACCTCCAGCCCCACGGGGTGCAGGAAGTAGCCCTCGACGAAGCGCTGGATCACCAGCCAGGTGCGGCGCTCGCCGGGGCCCAGCCCGCGCGGCGCCACGTCGGAGAAGGTGAGGCAGCGCGCCGAGCAGTTCCGGAAGCCGAAGCCGGTGGCCTCGCGCAGCAGCGGCTCCAGCGGCTCCAGGGCGGCCACGAGCGCCTCGTGCAGCAGCTCGTACTCCAGCTGGGTCATGGGCCGCGCCCAGAAGGGCACCGCGCCGCCCCTCCTGGGCCCCAGCGCGCGGTAGGAGCTGGGCCGCGGCAGAGGCCCCACGGCCAGCTCGGTGACGTTGGGCTCCGCCTGCGCCCCGAAGAACACGACGGCTCGAGCCTCGCGCCGCGGCCGCCGCCCCCCGTGCGCCAGGAACCGCAGGGCCGCGCGCTTCGGGGGCGGCAGCAGCTCCACCAGGAACAGCGAGTTCTTGGCCAGGGGGCCCCCCCGGCTCGGGGCCAGGCCCAGCTCCGGCCGCTCCATCAGGAAGGTCCGCACGGCCCGCAGCTCCGCCGGGGACAGGTCGGAGAAGATGGACGCGGGGTCCAGGGGGGCCGCCGAGGGGCCGGGGGACCCTGCGCTGACCAGCAGGGCCAGTGCCCAGGGGAGGCCCAGAAACCACATCCTGGGGGACACGGGAGAGGGGGGTCAGCACTGGGGGAATGGGGGTGGGATGGTCGAGCCCTCCCGCTCCAGTGCCGCCACCGGCAGCGCCAGCACCCCCCCAAAACTGGGGGAACCACGGGGTGACCCCCCAGCAAAACCGGAGACACCACGGGATGACTCCCCAGGAAACCAGGGAGATGATTGGGTGACCCCCAGGAAAACTGAGAACCCCACAGGGTGACCACCATGAAAACTGGGGACACCGCGGGATGACCCCCAGGAAAACCAGGGACACCACAGGGTGACCCCCAGGAAAACCAGGGACACCACAGACGACCCCGGTGAAACCCAGGGGGTGTTCCCAGGGAAACTGGGGGGCGTCGTGGGCTGACCCCCAGGAAAATCGGGAGGACCATGGGATGAGCCCGGTGACACTGGGGACACCACAGGGTGACCCCAGACAAGCTGGGGACACCATGAGATGACCCCCAGGAAAACCGAGGGCACCGCGGGGTGATTCCCTGGAAACCTGCCCCCCCCCTCCAGAGGCCCCCAGGCCCGGGGGCGGGGGGGGCCGTGCACCCCCCAGGGTGGCTGTTGAACCCCGACCCGGCACTGAACCCCACCGGGGTGGGCAAGGGGAGACCCCCCGGTGCCCCCCAGGAGTGCCCGCAGGGACCACCCCCGGCCCCCCCGCGCCCCCCTCACCTGCCCGGGCTCTGCCGACCCATCGCTGCAGCGGGGCCGCCTCTGCCCCGGCCCGGGGGCACTGACCCCCCCCTCCAACCCCCGGGGGCATTGACCCCCCTTCCCGCCCCCCCCGGGGTCACCGCCCCCGTTCCCGCCCTCTCCCCCCCCC